CATACACACACACACACGCGCGCGCGCTCACAATGATCACTTATGGGCTTTGTCACAGAGACTCGACATGTTCATCCACACACACACCTACACATACCGGACATGCGTACGCTATTCTCACTGCACAACCTTGCAAAAACCCACACTAACATGTAACAATAATGATCTCAGATGCACGTAGTTCTGTCCCTAGTTCCTCCTCGCTGTGCGTAGGGGGAGGGGGATGGGGGTGGATGTGAAGGGGGTAACAAACAGACCCACTATACAATCTCAGCCAAAATGTTAACCTTTAAAAAGACAGAACAACATGCCTGATAATCAACTCTCAGATGTGCCATTGTGATATTCACTTCAATGTACCGTTTCGGCCTTAAAATAAAGCCCCTTTCTTCGTTCTTAACATTAACTACCAAGCCAAGTTTTTACACCCACCCCCTCTCTTCGCCAGGAAAAAAAGAGAAAAGGAAAAGGATGAAAGCTCTTATAAAACTAGAGTTAAATGAATGATTAAATTACTTCGATAACGAATGTTGACATGTCAGTTGAACTGACCTTGCTGCCCGGATTTGGCCCGCGGGCCGTAGTTGGATGACCCCTGCTCCAGTGGAGTAAATAGTGATGGGCTGCTAATGACAACGGTGTATTTTTTATTAAGAAGGAGGAGGGGGTGGTGGGGTGGATTTTTGGGGATACATTCTTTTACCATTGAATTGACATCAAGCTTAATTTTAAATCTGTGAGTCTATTATTAGATGGATTTGCAGAATCCAGCACTAACAAAACTTCTGCTATCTGCCACTTCAAATAAAACTGTAGAAATCAAACCGACGCATACCTCGAAATGAAGAGTCATTGTCCCAATGCCTTTTTGTCAAAGTAAAAAGATGACATTGTTAGGTGTTGTTTTTTTAATGGGATGGCTCTTATATTTTTTTCCTTTTCTGTCTTGAAATGTTTTGTTGTTGTTGTTGTTGTTGTTGTAAGATACGTTCTTTGCCATTGAAACGCTATTTTTGATGATATAAACTAATATTGAATGTGTGTTTTCTCCACGTGATCTAATTTTAAAAGAAATTCTTACACCGACAAGCCATCTGTGTTTGTCCCGTCATGTGGTGTAATCGTTAGTTACACACTTTCAAAGTTGATATCAAGGGAAAATAATAACAATAATATCGCTCTTAGAAGCTGGAAGAACAAAGAAAGAACAAAATTATTAACAGGCCTGTGGGTTAATTTTGATTTGTACTTTTCAGATGCGGCTAGCATGAACGAGTTTTCTGCCCGTTAAGTGTAGGAGGTGTTTTTACACCCCCATCAACACAATTTAGATAATTTAGGAAGCCGGCTTCCGACTCTGCCTACGAGTGCCAACCCAGACTGAGAGAGATACAACACCCCAGCAGAAAGACCGAAATACTCGATAAAAATTTAACCCCACCCGGGAATCGAACTCGGATCTCCTGCAAGCGACAGCAAAGCGCCTAACCGCTACACCACAGACACCCGTTGACTAAAGTTGCATTGGTAGTGGCTGTGATGCACATACAGATACGACAAAGACAGTAGGTATACAGAACCCTGTCGACTATGAAATGGAATATGTAACTTTAGAAATTATTTTTCTGTACAGGCTTGCTACCTTGGCCATTCAAATTTTCCTGTTAGTCCCCGTAATATTGTGGGAAAAAAAAGATCTAAACCTGTTCACTTTTACAAACGAAGCAATCATTCACTATCAGAATACTAGTTATGCACCTTGCTTACACATTACAATGGTTAACAATAATGTCAATTGCGTATAAGTGTGAGTCTGCGAGTGCAAGAGTATGATAATTATGCCTGCAGGTGTATACATGTAGGTTATGTGGTGAGATGATGATGCTGTGTGTATGTGTGGGTGTGTGTGTGTGTGTGTGTGTGTGTGTGTGTGTGTGAGAGAGAGAGAGAGAGAGAGAGAGAGAGTGTGTGTGTGTGTGTGAGTGTGTGTGTGTGTATGTGTGTGTGTGTGTGTGTGTGTGTGTGTGTGTGTGTGTGTGTGTGTGTGTGTGTGTGTGTGTGGTGACGGTGTATGTGCGTGCGTGCATGTATGTATATGTATGTGTGGGCATGGTAAAACAACAAACTAAGAAAATCTTGTCTTGTCTTATTGTATCTCATCTTGTCGTACCTTATCTTATCGTATCTTAAACAGTGTAGGGTGGTTCACAATAATAAATTCAATAAATATATCAAAATATCTACACACTTCCAAATATAGGTTGCCATTTTTCACCAAATTCTCGAGAAGGTACGCTCAACCCAAACAAATGTAACTACTTGTCGTCTTTGAGTACGGAAGCCAAATTATACTTGAATTCTCTCTCTTTGTTTACTAAATTTCTCAAGAAAAAGTAAATTATTTTTGAAGAGTCCATCTTCAGGTAGCTGATGGCACAGTTTATAATATGTTTGCCATAGACTTCCGAGCCGACGAGTCCAGTTAAAGCGCCCCCCCCCCCCCTTTTTTTTTTACCTACCCGAAAAATAAAATAAAAAAATAATTAAATTAAACTAAAATTGCTTCTTCAAAGATCGACATCAACGACGAATCTGTCTTTTAAACAATAGGTCTGTTTTGTTTCAAAGGGGCTTGATACCTATGCACAACTACACTTCTTTTTTTTACCACAAAGTATTCTTACTTTCATCATAACTGGCTGGTATTGGTCTAAATTTAGTGTTTCTGTCTTTACACGACAGACGCTGTGTAGCTTTTATCCGAGTGTAGCAGTTGTTTATTCTAACTCATTGTTGATGTTTAACGCTTGAGTTGGCGTACTTAGGATAATGTACAAGGTGGGTTGCTTCGCTACTGCCTGCCTTGGCCAATACGAGTCGAGTGGGACACGGCATCTCAACAGAAAGACACAGATACACGACTAAACATTCCATACAAAGTTCAGAAAAAGACATACAAAAGAAAAAAGCAAACTAACACGAGGCAAGCAGAAATTAGCAACGGCTTTGAAATGATCTTCTAGTCAGTATGTCGGCTGACAAATTGAGATACATGTACTTTCTCCTTTCCATGTTTCAAATATAAAAATAACACCCAACACAAGAGTAAAACAAATTGATTTTCATTTATTTCATGTAAAAAAGACACAATAAAGAAGCTAGTACAACGCCATCACAAAAGTATCATCAACTTGCGAGACGAGACATCTCTTGCCGTGCATCCACATCAATGAAATCGGTACTTGTATGATGGTCAGTTACTTAGCTTTTGGAATGCACCAACCAATCATATATTTGTATTGAAAGTATACATCGTAGCGCTTTGTCAAATGGCTGCACTGATAAAAACTCAGTGGTGCCTAAAAATGACAGCCTTTGACTTAGTTTTAAATTTGCATCTTTGTCGGGCATTTTCAATAATTAATTATTTGACTTTTGAGTCTCCTGAGCTCAAAACTTAATGCTTGCTGGATTGCAGGCTAACTATGAATAATTTAAATGGCATGTACATTATTTACAAATCACACATGGAAAATAAATTGTCCATAGAATTTGTGAACGAAGAAATTTCAACTTGCGCTCTTTTTTTTCCTCAGGAACATTGGTCACATCAAATGAAGGTCTAAAAAGTCTTCCGTTCCCCCATTTAAACGGCAGTCAGTCAGTCAATGCAGAAGAAAACAGCGTGCGAATGGCAATGTAACAATGTTTCACAACAGATCACAGACAACCAGGAACATGACTGTTGTTTCCAGTTTAAAAAAAAAAAAAGAAAAAGAGAAAAAGAAAAGTTAAAAAAAACAAAGACAAATAATGAAAACGTAATATCATTTTGGTTCTGTCGTTAAACAGGAAGCAACATGGAGCGTAGGGGCCAGCATCTTATTTGCCGGCGGCCTTGAGGGCATCGATGATGAGTCCGAAGAGCTTGCTCCATGCAGCGTCGGCGCCGGCGGGGGGAGCAGCCACGGAGGCCACGTAGGCGGGGAACATGGAGCGGACATTCTGGAGAGGAGAAC